CCACTCTAGCTATCAAAAAGAGACTTTGCAGTCTAAACTGACAAATAAAATAAATTATTTGACATGTGTAAATGGCATAGCCAACTTAGATACATTGGAACCTTAAATTAAACATCACCAAATGGTGCACAGAACGACTATTTGACGTATTTTGAAAAAGGAAAAAACTTAGCTATTAACATCCTAATACCATTCGATAGGTAATTAAAAATTACACTTCCTGGTAAGTTAAAAAATATGGGGTTCTATTTAAATTAATCAAGTTACAGCCACTTAAAGTTCTTATTTGATTAGTTTAAATTTGTGGACACCCTGTATAAAATTGTAAGTTTATTATCATTGGGATATAAAATATGATTTCTTGTTAGACCAAACTACGAATTACGTTTACATAACTTAAATAATTCTAAAGTATTTGACACATAAGATTTAGGTATTATAAACCTTATTAAAACAGACACTTATTTTGTTCAGCGAATCCAAAAATGCAATAATATACAACAGGACATTCCATTTAAATATACGCCACTTTGATACCTTTAGAGCCTTTGGGACACCCTGTACATTACAAAAGTATTTTTTAAATGTGCGCTCGGTAAGCGTCGGACAATTCATAAAATAATACTTTTTAAAAATCAAACGGTTTAGCCGCAAACTAGCGTGAATAACCCTGTATAAACGTTTTAGCTTGAACTGAGTTTAATTGTCCGACAAGCAACTGAAGTTTTATGGATTATTTATATTTCTCTCTCTTTGCTCTGCTGATTTCAAATAAGTTTAGCTTTGGACAGATTTCCCGCCCTACTAAACACATTTTCTTCTGTCTTTCCAGGCGGCCCTACGTTTATAACTCATTAACCAATGAGCTAACACATTAACTCAGCGAGCGGCAGCAACTCAAAAGCGCAACTCAACACAGTGTTACCCAGACCTAATTGACGCAGCTAATGAAATGAAGAGTCTTAGAATAAGTAAAACTGGACCGTTATGCCAGAGTAACGAATAGTTGAAAGTAACGGTAATCAACACCTCAAAGCGTGAGGCATTGAGGATGCAAAAACTCCATTGCGGTTTCTCCTGATCTCGTGACTCCATCATCAATGCCTCACCGGTGGCGTGTCTGAAATGTTCCTAGTGTGAATAGATTTGTTAAAAAGCTGGGTTCGACAAAATGTACAAGATTAAATCTGAAGCAAAACACACTGAAAATGCATGCTGAATGAGTTGAAATGGAAATCCGCCAAATTATTATCCACACTATACACTTTTAGTAGTCGGCAAAGAAACTGACTACCAATGCGGCCCTAAACCTTCGTTCTTAGTGGCCATATTCGTATTCATTTCCTGGTGCTAGTGGAAGCTGCAACCACTCGAACTTACCCTGCAGTTATCGCGCTCTGGATCTCCTTCTGGTCGGTTCCCGCCAGGGTGTTCCTCCTCCTAGACAAAGCAACAGCTACTTTACCTCACTAAACATAATGTGCGCAAATAAACATCTTCAAACAGTGGAACTAGAACCCATTTCTTCCACTTTCCCGTCACAACCACCACCAAACCAACCTGTTTCTGGGCCTTCTCGTTCTTCCTCGCCTCCTCACTGTGTCCCCATCCACAGTCTGATTAACCACTTCTCCACTCATCAGCGATCGTCTTTGCATGGACATCCGGTCGAAACTCCGGCCCGATATATCTACAGCCACCAGTTGGGCAGGGAACCTATTCACAGCAAGGAACAGTTGGTTAATCTCCAACTCTCTAACTAGACTGAGATGAAGGTGGGTACCTTAAGGCGACGATTTGAAGCTGTTCTTCAGGCGAAGGTAACTTGTGATCCAGGGGTTCTTCATCTGAGGCGATGCCACCGTCCGTTTGATCGCCATCGCTGAAAGTCGCTGTGATGTGGCTGTTGCAGTTGGTGCCGACCGTCACATCGCCCAATGCTTCATCTGAGGTCCATCGCCGAAGATCTTCCACAACGGCCGGCTGAAATCAGTAAACACACTAAAACAAGGTTCTAATCCAAATTTATACTGAGACTCATAAAGCCGAAGAGAGAACTGTACAGGCTATATACATACACTCAAAATAACGACTTAAAAAAGACACTGAACCAACTCAACAGAAGCATTAAAACTTTGATTGGACAATGCCGACAAGATGGCTAGAAACATGTAAGGAAATACAA